ATGCTTACACCCATCGCTGTTAGGTTGCTTTGCCGGGATATGTGTGTTCCTTCTCTCTCTACCTCTCTCTCTCTCTCCCTCCCTCCCTCCCTCTCTTTCTTTTTTTTCTCTCTTTCTCTCTCTCTCTCTCTCTCCCTCTCTCTCTCTCTCTTTCTCCCCCTGCCCTTTTTCTTTCTCATCTTGCTCCTCATCGGGGGCGGGCGCGAGCGCGCGGGCGGGGGCGGCGCCTGCCCTCCCAAGCTAAGTTTCTTATAAGTATTTCATAAAGTTCGCCTACGAAACTTAACACATGGCCAGATAAGTAACTTAGCAGTAACTCAGTATATAGCATTAATGTGACTTGCGATACTTATACCTAGGGCCTAAGTAGCACAAGTACCACAAGCCTCTAAGTAGTTCAGTCGAAGGGAAGCCCCTTCCGTTTCATCCCTTCCCCGCTGGGGGGAGGGGGGCCCCCCGCCGCGGGGAGGCGGGGGCCAGTGGCCTCCCGGGGGAGGTCCCGGAAAGGTCGTGGGAGGGTTCCGGGGCAGATGCGACTCCTCGGGCGGTTCGGCGGCAAAGACAAGCGTCGTTGATCCCTTCCCCGCCGGGGAGGGGGGGCCCGGGGGTGGCCTCCCAGGGGCGTCCCGGAGTAGATGCGATTCCTCCTCGGGCGGTTTGACCGCCAAGAAAGGCGTTGTAGTGAAGTCGAAGGGAAGCTCCTTACCTTGCGGATGTTCGGCGGTTTTCGACGGGCGCTCGGATGTGCTTGATTTCGCCGTTCTGACGGGACCTCCAAGATGACCCCATCACGAGCGCAGAAACCCCATAGACGCATAGGACCCCAGAAACCTCGAAGACGCCTAAAGTGGCAAGGAAGCACGAAGACGGTTCGGAGACACCCCGAAGGCTCGCTTCCTATGTTGTTTCTGGGGACGTCCGCCACTCCCGTTGCCCTCCATCTCCTGACCCTCCTTTTCCTCTTTCGGCCACGGACGCGCTGCCTGAAAAACAGTTGGTCGTCCATCGTCGTCGTGAGCGTCGTAGTTGTCATCGTCGTCGTCGCGGCCGCGGTCGTCGTCGTCGTCGTCGTCGTCGTCGTCGTCCCCCATCCGCCTTTCGCAGGGACCACTCCGGACAAGAGTATGTGTGCACCCTCACCCTTGTTTTCCTCAACCTCGTGAGCCCCCCCATGCTCGCCCTTCTCCTCCTCCTCCTCCTCCTCCTCCTCCTCCTCCTCCTCCTCCTCCTCCTCCTCCTGCGCCTCCTACTCCCACTCCTCCTCGGCCTCGGGCTCCTCCTCTTCATCCCCTTCCTCTCCCCCTTCATTACCATCATCCTCGCGTTCCTACTCCTCCTCCGAGCTCACCTGCCGCTGGCTTTACACGCGCGCCCCCAACCGCAACGACGTCATCATCGCCATCATCATCGACGTCATCCGCGTCTTCATCATCATCATCATCATCATCATCATCATCATCATCATCATCATCATCATCATCAGCATCAGCATCAGCATCAGCATCAGCATCATCATCATCATCATCAACAACAACAACAACAACAACAACAACAACAACAACAACCTTGCCATTACTTTCCTCCTCCGTCTCCTGCTGCTCATGTTCGCCACGCTCTACCCGCAGCTGCCCCTCCTCCTTGTCAGCCGTCCTTCTCCTGCAACTATGTCCCTGCTCGCCTCGCTCCCCCCCTGCTCTCCCCCCCTCCTCGTCTTCCCCCCCGCCCCGCCCCTCTCGCCCCCTCTCGTCCTCCTCCTCCCCCCATCGCACCTGTTCCTCCTTTTCCTCGCCCCTCCAGCCCCCTAGCCCCTAGCGTCCTCCGCCACCTGCTCCTCAACATCCTCGTCGTCCTCGTCATCGCCGTCTTCAGGGTCGGCGGCGCCGGCCGCAAGGCCTTCGCAATGCAAAGGGGGTTGACCCAACGGGCGTAGGAGTCGACTTCGAAACCGCTTCCGAAATCCGTGCTGGGCGCCCCCAGTGCACCCCCTTTCGTCCTCCGGGATCAAACTCCGCCGAGACGGGGCCCTCCGCGACCAGCTGCACGTCCAACGCTTCATGAGCCCCGAACGTCTCGACCAGAGGCCCAAGCTGTACCACCTCGCGCGCAGGATGCTCGACCCGAGGATAAAGATGGGCCGCCGCAAGAGCGCCGCCAGCACCGTGGACTCCGCTACTACCAGCGGGAAGATCACTACGGACAGAACGAAACTTTTGCCGAACAACGTCAGGAACGCCGCCGAGGTCGCCCTCTACCGCGCGCGAGAAGCCGTCACCCACGAAACCCGCGGAGCTGAAGACGAAACTCCCGCATGTGCATCGCATCGCTGAGGGCGGATGCACCCAAGCACTGTTGCCTGGCTGCTCGGCCGTCGACCTCCAGCCCGACCTGGGATCAGCAGCGACCCAGGCGATGCCGCTGGCAGATGCCGAAGCGAACCACCCAAGCAGCATCCTCTTGGAATGCCAAGCGGCGTTGCGGCGCCGTCTCATGTTCACGGGGGCGCGCAGCCCGCAAGCCAACCGCCGAAGCGCAGGCCGAGAAGCGAGCTCGCGATCTTGCCAGGGGCCAGGACAAACGCCAGCGTCGGCAGAGCGCACAGCAGCCTCCACCGCCGTATGCCGCCGCCGCCGCGCGGCACGGCGCGACGTTGTCTGGCCGATGGAATCGATGTCAGCTTGACGCTGAACCGTAGGCCACCACGCTTTCGGGCCGCCATCTCCACCTCGGCGCCTCGCCCACCGCCGCTGCCAGGACAGGCCGACCGAGCTGGCTTGAGCAATTAGGGGGGTCGGCCGTTGGTGAACGGTTTGCGCCAAAATGGCCACGGAGAGAAAGCGAAGGGAGGGGGGGGGGGCAGAAAAGGGGGGGGGGGGGGGGCAGCCTCAGGAGATCACCCGAAGGGGTGTCCCTGGAGGCCTCCAGGGCCCTCCGAAAGAGCAGAAACATGTAAAGGGAAAAAGGGTTGAGTGGCAACTTTCTTTGCTAAGCTTGTCCACCAACAACTCATGCTTTGACGCCCGCTTCACGTTGCCGCAACTGGCTAACTCGCGCGGGCCCATGGGCGGCGCGCAGCAAATAACACTCATAATGAACTCCCCAATCGCATCCAGAAACAAGCCGCGGTGCCTATGCTTCCTCAGATGGCCCCCCCAGATGTAAACCCTTTGTCGCTCGCACAGGCAACCGCGAGGGGCAGAGGCGGGAAGGGAACAAAGGCCCAATGTGACTAAAGGAGGAACGAAGGGATGGGCAGGGGCAGGAGGGGCGGGGAACTCCCCAAATAAATCGGCAGCGCTGCTCCCCGGACTTCCCCAGGGGCGCGCCCCCCTGAGATCCGACGACGCGAAACAATGAAACACATGACAAATCACGACCAAAACCCCGGGACCATTTCTTGCGCCAGCTTTCGAATTGGATCGATATGCGAGGGACCTGCGGTCAAAAACCGCGCCCAAACGCCTTGCTCGAACAAGATGGAGACGCCGGGGTCTCAGAGTCCGACCGAGAGTCCGCGGCGAAAGGAGCCGCGGCGACGAGGCCCCCCAAAGGCCCGCCCCACGCACCGAAATCCCTGGAAACCGGAAGCGGCGCACAAACAGCACGAGCACGAACGCGAGCACATGAGTTCTCGGAGCTCCCGCGCCGACCTCTCTCTGGTCGGCGCTGGGCCCCGCCGCCTTTCCGGCGAAACGCGCCAGAAGGCAATGCCAAACCGCCCGGGGGGGTCCAGCGCCGACCCGAGATGTCCGCGCGGACCTCTGAGACGCTGCGGCGAGGGCGTTGGGTGCGCGCTGACTTTTGCAGACGTTGGCGGCCCGTTCGCCCACTGGCATGTCGTCAGGCTCCGCCCTCCTCTGCAAGGATCTGGCTGTGCCGCGGCGACGACCGACGCCCCCTCCTGGCCCCGGCATCCGCGCCCACGGCAGCTCAATTCTTGGGCCCCCCGACCCCGCGATTCCTCGCCCAAAAACGCCCGATCCCCCCCCCCCCCCCTGGCCCCGGCATCCGCGCCCGCGGCAGCTCTGTTCTTGGGGCCCCCGATCCCACGATGTCTTCTCCAAAAACGAATGACGCCCCCCTCCTTGTCCCGGCGTCCGCGCCCACGGCAGCTCGGTTCCGCGGGCCCCCCACCCCGCGATTTTTCCACCAAAAACGACAGACACCCCCCTCCTGGCCCCGGCATCAGCACCCACGGCGGCTCTGTTCTTGGGACCCCCGACCCCGCGACCTCTCCCCCAAAAACGACCGACCCCCCCCCCCTGGCCCCAGCATCCGTGCCAACGGCAGCTTTGTTCTTGGCACCCGTACCTGCGGCAGCTCTGTGCTTAGGACCACCCAGCCCGCAATTGCCGCCCGAAACCGAACGGTGCCGCCCTCCTGGCCCCCCACCTCGCCCCGGCACCCCCCCCTACGGCAGCCCCGGTCTTGGGGCTACCCAGCCCGCCATTTCTCGCCCGAACCCTGCGCGCCAGCGCCCCGACGAAGGCGGTCTACGTAGTCTTGCGTTTTTTTCGCCACGCACTCCCAACTCCGCTCGGCGACTTCTTTCCTTTTCCGCTCCTCATCATCGAACACTTGTCGCACCTCTGCTTCCCATCAGACTTTTTCGTCGCCCGCTTGGCCAACCAGCTGCTGAATTCGCTGTCCCGAAGGCGCCCTTGCAAGCAATGCATTTCCAACGCCCCCGCTGTAGCTTTGCGCCAGCGACGCAGCGCTTGCGCCGTGGTCTCGATCGGCCGCGCCATCCCACATCCATGTCGAAAACCAGTCACGCCGCTGCGCCGCCTCGCGCGCAACGCAGGCCTTGCCGCCCTTCCTCGCCGCAGCGCCCCGCTGTGCAGCCGCAGCGTCAAAACACTGGGTGCAAGCAATCGACGCTGCCGAAGCGCGTTCCAACATGTGAGCGGACAACTCGGCCTTACCCTTCGACTCCCCACATTGTGAGCATACCGCCCGCCTTGCTTCTTCAGCGCGCGCCTTCTCCTCCTCTCTCGCTGCACCTTCTTACAGGTCTTGCATGTGGGTTCGTCGATGCTCTGCTCCGCTCTGGCATGCTCCATCGGTAACTTCTGCTGGCCGCAGCGCGAACACTTCAGGTGCCTCTTCAGCCCCTCGCAGTCCAGGCACGCTCCCCCCTTGCATCGGGCGTTCCCTGCCTTGCCCCACTGATACGCCACGAAAGCTTGCTCGTACTTGCGACCCTCGCATACATGGCACTTCCGCCTCTCGGGACAGTCCACGCAGCGCCGTGACGCGAGCTTTGAGGAGTCGTGCTGGGATGAGTGGGAAGCAACCTGGCCCTTCCAGAGACCGCGATCCATGCGCTGCCACGGCGCCCCCACGCTCTTCTTGTCTTCTACGCACAGGGTACACACGCGCAGGCCGTCCTCTCGACTCCATCGGCGCAGGCCATACTGGCTATTGCACTTCACTGCGGAGCACAGCGCGCACCGCCCCGAAGGTATAAACTCTTTCTCGATGGCGCCCCAGTCCAAGACGTCTCCACGCAACGATTGCAAGAGTAACGCGGGGCCCACCCTGGGTGCACGGCGCGCGATCAAAGGCTCGGAATATTAACATGTCGGCGCGCGTCGCACGCGCGTCACGGACAAGCTACAGAGGAGGCACAAGCTCGGACGGCACTCGCCTACACCGCTCAGTAGCGTCGCTGGGGAAGCGCGTTCGTGCTCGAACGAAGGCCGAGGTGCGCGGGTCCCCGAGGCGCCCCAGCCCACGCTTGAGCACCTTTGGGGAAAATCCAGGGTGCCGATACCGCTGCACCCCGGACCTCTCATGGGATGCATTCCGACAAGGATTTCGAAGCGAATCCAGCGGTGGCGACGAGGACCTCCCAGGATATCCAACAAGGGAAACACGAGGAAACGGTAGCGGCATGGGTACATCTCTCCCTCCGCCGAGTCCGTGGGCCCCCCCCAGGCGCCCGAGGTCCGCGGGCCCCTCCCGCGTCAGTCACGGTCGAGGAGGAGGAAGAGGAGGAGGAGGAGGAGGACGAGGAGGAGAAGGACCGCTGACCGCAGTCACTGCTACCCACCACGATTCCAACCAACAACAACTCGAAATACCCCCAAGCGGCCCCCCCATAGGAGCTCGGAAACGCGATGCGATCCGTCAGAACCATGATCATCATATTGTCATGGTTATGTGCATCCGCCACCGTGCCTCTGGGCACGGGGTGGGCGTGCCCTCAAGTCCTTCCATCATCCTCTAAACCTCACCCTTCATTCCTGAGGAATCACTCAGAGACCTGGACCCCGCATCGCGAAATCTTCTCCTGGGGCTTCTCGCGGTTTCTCGCGTGACTGTCTCGGAGCAGCGAAGGCCCCAAAACGGGCAAACAGGGCCCAGAGAGGCCCACGACGGCCCCAACACGCCCAAGAATCGCCCCAAGACGCCCTTCATGGCCTCATCATGGCGCAAGAGGCCTCCAAGATGCCCCAAGAGGCCTCGAATATGCCTCCCACGAGGACCCTGAAAAGGCAACCACCATTGACTTGCCGTCGTTGTTTGAAAAATGTCGGCGTACTCGCGCGTTTCCTTTCCGACGCTCCTAGACGGCCCGAGGCTCCCAACGCCACCCCAGGATTGGCCGAGATTCCTCCAAGAGGGCCCCAAGAGCCCCAAGAGATACCCAAGAAGCCTGAAGAGGCTCCAAGAGGCCCCCGCGGGACCCAACAGCGACCCGACGAGGCTCCAAAACTGCATCCAATTGGCCGCAAAACTGCCCGCAAGGCAACGAAAAAAGGTCCACCAACGCCGGCGCCTACGCGGGCATGAATGCCAGCGCCTACACCAGCACCAGCGCCAGCATCGACGCCAGCGCCAACGCCCGCGCCTATGTCGGCACAAGCGCCAGAGCCTACGCCACTGTCGACGACAGCACCGACGACAGCACCGACGCCCGCGCCTACGCTGGCATGAATGCCAGCGCCTACACCAGCACCAGCGCCAGCATCGACGCCAGCGCCAACGCCCGCGCCTATGCCGGCAGAAACGCCAGAGCCTACGCCACCATCGACGACAGCACCGACGACAGCACCAACGCCCGCGCCTACGCTGGCATGAATGCCAGCGCCTACACCAGCACCAGCGCCAGCATCGACGCCAGCGCCAACGCCCGCGCCTATGCCGGCACAAACGCCAGAGCCCACGCCACCGTCGACGACAGCACCGACGGCAGCACCAACGCCGGCGCCTACGCCGGCATGAACGCCAGCGCCTACGCCACCACCAGCGCCAGCATCGACGCCAGCACCAACGCCCGCGCCTACGCCGGCACCAACGCCAGAGCCTACGCCACCATCGACGACAGCACCGACGACAGCACCAACGCCGGCGCCTCGGTCGGCATGAACGCCAGTGCCTACACCAGCACCAGCGCCAGCATCGACGCCAGCGCCAACGCCCGCGCCTACGACAGCACCAACGCCAGAGCCTACGCCACTGTCCACGACAGCACCGGCACGAGCACGACTACGACGACGAGTCCGAGCACGAATCAGTGCAAACAGCACTACCAGCATCACCACGGGCATAACCAGTGCAATCAGCACGAACACACACGGACGACCAGCACCAGCGACACGGGCAACCAGCACGACCACCTGTGCAACCAGCATGCCTACGACTGCCACGAGCACGAACACTACAGCGGCAACCACCGCCGATGCGGCGATTCCTACCACCAGCACCGGCTCGGCTCCCACGACTGCGAGGACCAGCTCCTGGGCGCTACACCAGAGCCCCCACGAGGCCACTACACTAGTTCAGCCGAGCTTTACTTTCACCAGCACCTCCGCTCTTGCGCCGCATGCGCGTCGGGAGCGGCATGCACTTCTGCGTGCCCATGTGGATTCCCATCTCCCGACTCTCAATGGCCAGCGCGCTGCCTTTCGCATGGGGCCTCACTCGCTCTCGGTGGGGTGCACAGTATCCTCCAACGAGCCCCCGCGCTCCTCGCAGCTCTCCCAATCGTGGCTCCTTCGGTCATGTTATGGGCTGTGACGGGGCAGGTCCTGAGCTCCACGCTCGGGGAGGCGCTTCCCGTCCCCGTGCACCCGGCGTTGCTCCTCGCCTCCGCCTGCGTGTCCCCGGCTTCTCTCGAGGTCGTCGTCTATGGGGCCATGGTGCACGGCGGACCCGCGCAGCGGGGCTTGGCAGCGATCTGTGCGACGGCTCTCGCTCACGACTTCCACGTCCGACGCCCCCTGTGCGAGGCTTTGACGCTGGCTTCCACGGCGGCCCTCAGCCCAGCGTGGTTCTGCCCAACGAGCCCCGCTGCTTGGGCCGGCCAGGTGGTCCTCCTCGTTCGGGCGGTCACCACGCCTGCTTTTCCCGCTTCGGATGGCATTTGCGCCACGTGCCAATGGGGGACTAATCGGTGCACGTGCCGGCGGGGCGGTTCCCGCAGCCCTCAGCGCCCGAGCGCCGCGGCGGCTTCCTCTGCCTCTGCGGGCCCAGCGAGGCAGGAGGTCCACGTGAGCAACGCGTCTGTCGAGGCGGGGCCAGCGGTTCGCTCCCCTGGGCGACACCTCCGGCGCAACCGGACTGATGGGGATGAGCCGCTCCTGGTCGTGGGACTCGGCGGGTTGAATCTCGACCCTGCCAGGGACATGCATGTGGACGCGGGGATTCCTTTGGAGGAACAGCGCCGGGCCGAGGCTCTCAACCGCCCCCCGGCCAGCGCTCCTGGGGAGGGCGCCCCGCCGCCCGGGGCTCCACAGGCAGCGCCGCCAGCCGGGCAAGAGATACCTGCCCCCCCCTCCCCCGGCGCCCGATCCTGCCCACCAGCGCAGGGTTCGTGCCCGCGCCCGGGTGCACTGCCCCGTCCCTGGGCGCCCGCGCGGCGACGCCGCGTCCTCCGCCGGCTGGGGGGGCCACCACAGCATGCGCCCGCGCCTGAACGAGCACGCCGCCGGGCGCCTCCCTGGGCTGCCACCAGTCCCGCCCGAGTACCTGCAAGAGCACCGGTTGGAGCAACGCTCGGTCTGCCAACGGTTCTTGTCGACGCGCGTCGGCGGCATCTGCCCGCGTTGCCGCCCTGCCGCGCGCGCGGCCGCAGCCGCGGCAGCCGCCGCTCCCGCCGCTGGCGGCCAAACGCACAGCGAGCCCGCGGGTCCCCCCTCCCTCCGGGAAGCTTTCTCCAAGCGCTCCACCACCAAGCGCTACGTCCCGAAGGGCGCCCGGGACCTCTGGGCACGGTGCTTAGCGCAGACGGTGGCCCAGACCGTGCACAACAATTGCGAGGCTGCGTGGACAGAGCTTGCGATGCTCCCGAAATGCGCCCTGCGCCCTCACGCCCGTGGCGGCCGAGGCAGCAGGACGGCCGGCGAAGCGCAGACCAAGGCGCTGTGCCGGCGCTGGCTGGACGGGGAGCGGGCCTCCCTGCGGGCCGAGGCAGTCGAGGCTCGCGCTGCCAAGCACGCCTCGCAAGCCTCCCAGCGAGCGGAGAGGTGCGTGCAGCTCGCCGCAGACGCCCGGTACTCCAAGAGCTGCTCGGCTCTACCAGCGAGCCGCCCGTGGAGGTCACCCCCGACGTCGTCGAACAGATGGGCCGGAAGCACCCGCGCAGCCGCCAAGCTGTGGATCCCGCCAGCCTTCCGGCTGTCCACGCGGCTGCTGCCCTGCAGATGGGCGGGGGCGCGGTCCGTAGGGAGGTGCGGGCCTTCCCCCGGGGCTCGGCCGCCGGGCCAACGGGCCTCCGACCCCAACACCTCAAAGACGCACTGCTCAACGCGGCCCACAGGGACGAGGTCGCCGACCAGCTCCGGAACCTCGTCAACCTCTGCGCCAGGGGGCAGGCCCCGCCGACCGTGTCCGAGTACTTCGCGGACGCCTCTCTCGTGGCCCTGCCGAAGAAGGACGGAGGCCTGCGCCCTGTTGCCGTCGGGGAGGTGCTCCGGCGCCTCGTCGGCAAGTGCCTCTGCCACGAGGTTGCCGACGCCGCGCGCGACCGACTGGCTCCCCTCCAGATCGGCGTCGCGGTCCCTGGCGGCACCGAGGCGGCGGTGCACGTCGCGCGCCAGTGGTGGACCCGCCACCTCGGGGACCGGGGGAAGGTGTTTGCGAAGCTGGACTTGTCTAACGCCTTCAACACCCTGGACAGGCAGGCTCTGCTCCGCGCGGTCCACGAAGAGTTTCCCGGGCTGGCACCCTGGGCCGACTGGTGCTACTCCCGCCCGTCAACTCTCTTCCTGGGCAAACAGACAGTCCGCTCCGAGTGCGGGGTGCAGCAGGGCGACCCCCTGGGGCCCCTACAGTTCTCCCTAGCACTACAGCGCGCCGCCGAGGCCGCCCTTCGCGCGCCGCGCCACGGCGCCGACGGCGCCGTCGACTTGAGTTTCTTCTACTTGGACGACGGCTGCCTCGCGGGCGACGCGCCGGCCGTCGCGCGCCTCCTCCACTTGCTCGTGGCCAGCCTTGCCGCGGTGGGCCTCCAGCTGAGCACCGGCCCGGGCAAGTGCGAGGTGGTCCCCACTGGCGGAGACGCCTCCGACGTGTCTCTGGACGGCTTCCCGCCG